TTTTTAATAGCAGCAGCACTCTGTTTGGTGAGAAAAGTTTAAAACAGTGAGCATGGTTTTTGCTGTTCTCACAAGCACATTTGACTCTTCTTATGAAATCCAATTTTGAAAAATCAATGGAATTGCTAAAGTGTACTGCATCCTCTCTGCCACAGAGCATGTTTTGCCATATTAGCAAAAAGCCTGGCTGTTTTTTCTTTGTTTACAAGCTCAAATGATTTGAAAAAAAATGATCAGTTCCTGTGAAAGGGTCATGGTTTCTGGTAATCCTGTTTCTGGGGCCTTTGTGTTGCTATTAAATGGAATTCTCCCTTGAAGGTCTGGTGGCCACAAGCTGGTCGAGCCACAGAGAACACCAGCCTTACACACAGTGAGCAATATTTTTCATTGTAGATATCCTGGGGATTCAGGAAATGAATTATATTTCCTTTGAAAAGTCTAAGATGCATTTTTTACTTTGCATAGTATTTTATTTATTTTAATTTACGCAAGGACAGCATCTATTGTGCCAACACACCCTGATGGCTCCCTCTGCATCACATCAACAAAACACATACTGAAAATATCTAAAAGTATTAATTTACTTGACTTCCTAACAGCCCTTATATAATCATTAAGATCTGGAATTTTAAAATCATTGAATTTATTCAAGTGGGAGAAAAGTATTTACTTCAGCCAGTATGCTCCCCTACAAGTGCTCCAATCTCCAAAGCAGACTGGAGTTTGATGTAGACAACTGAAATGCTCTGTCCCCTTTCACCTGGGGATCCTGAAAAAAATATTTTCTTTCAATGTCTTCCTCGAAATGCTCTGTCCCCTTTCACCTGGGGATCCTGAAAAAAATTAAATATTTTCTTTCAATGTCTTCCTCATGCTTTGTCTTTGAAAATGAGAATTATGCTTAAAAATAATCACAATTACATAAACAGTGAGATTTCTATAATATGTACCTGACCTTACATTCCTGGTGTGAACAAAACTCTGAGTTTATTCTTCCAAGGAGGAGAGGCGTTTTCCATTGGAAGATCCAGCCTGAAGAACTGAAATAGCTGACCTCATACTTTTGCTCATTATAAATATATTTTAAAAAATATTGCATCTTTAATTCATATTATTTAATTACAGCACATGAACAGGACCCAAAGCAGACTGCAGAATTCAGAAAGGTCTGTATAACCACTCTAAAAATAACAGGGTGTAATCGACGTAGCTGCTGTGGCAGATGGGTCTGGGGGACCTGTGTGGTTGTGGTTCACAGCTCTGAAAATGCACTTGGGTTCACAGCCCCTCTTGATAACACCTGTGAAATGCATTGATAGGAAAATGGGATCTCTGTAAGTGTGGTAGGTGAACATTCTCTTCTCACCTTCTCGCTATCACTTTGTGCTGGCTTTGATTTCTTTGCTGGTTAATTTTTGTTCTCCCCAGAACTTTCCACGTAGAAATTTAAACTTCAAGTGTCATTACTTCACTGAAACTAATTTGTCGTTATTATTCCTCATTACCTTTTATCTTGTAATTGCTCTTTAGAGCTTCATACAATCTGCATATTACATTGCTCTATGTGTGCTTTACTAGTCCTGATATTTTTTAATAAGCAACATGGTCAATATATACAAATGGTAAGCACCAACCTGATTTGCTATCTGCTATAATTGGATTCTGCCTTTAATTACAGGTGGTAATGACATTTTAAGCACCTTATACAGGTGTTGAGGGGGGGGTGGAGGTTATGAAATGTTAAGCAACATTAAGAAATTCTAAGCTTCTGGAGTGCTGCCAAATTTCAGAGGTGCCTTTCAACTCCAAATAGCGATTTTCATGTGAGGATAATTATAGCTCTGGCCACCTGGACTGCTCCTGTTGGAGTCAGGCAGAGCAGAGGAGTGAACTTGTCTGCAAGCCACACTTCACATCTTCTCTTTTCATTTCTGTTTTCATTTTAAATCACTTCAAATATATCATGGCCTGTATTTTGATTCCTAAAAATACTGCAGGACCATCTTTTTGGGTGTGTTTGCTGGCCAAAACCAATGGTAGAATATATTGTTCTGTATTGGCAGTGTAGCTGATGTTGGGTGACCTTGGAAAATATATTTGAATTATGTTGATAGCCTCCTTGATCTTGGGGGAGTTTTAATTCACATCTATAATTCCAGCCTGAGAAAATTAGACAGAGATTTGTTTTGGAACTGATGGGAAAATATATAGCCAGCAGAAGGAGTTGCCTTCTCCTTCATTACTCATGTAGCTTCCTCTGGAACATAACTTTGCCCTAGCAATAGCACTTAAAACTCAGCATTTCTGAGATCAACACTTATTCTCCTGTTTCTTCTGTCGTGACGTTTTGAAAAGAAAGCGAAAGAGACAGCACTTTTATGTGTCCTGCAGGAGCCTAATTCAATTCTTAATTTCTCCTCCTTTCTCTCCCTTCCTACAGAACCTCTGCTCATTAGCCACAAAGCCCAGGGGCTTGTCCTGCCTGTGATTTCCTGGGCTCTGCCAGCCAGGCCAGGATTCCTGAGCTCCAGGGATGGGGCTCCAGCTGCTCTGGTTGGAGCACACAGCTTTATTTCTGAGACTGATCTTAATTCTTCATCTCTAATAACCTGTTCTGGTGTGAAAGCCTGGCTTCAGTGACATCAGCAGGACCTCTGTTCTGAGCACCTCCAGCCTGTGAAGTGACATTTGAGAGGTTGGTTGTGCCTGTGTGGTGCTGCTGGGCTTTTTCCCTGGAAAGATGTGTTCCATCACACATGTACCTTGGGATCTGTAGGGGAGCAGCCTTGGGGGGAGGGGTTTAGCCTGGAGAAAAGGAGGCTCAGGGGGGATTTTATTGCTCTCTGCACTACCTGAAAGGAGGTTGTACCAGGTGGGGAATGGTATCTTCTCCCAAGTAAAGAGCAATAGGACAAGAGGATATTGTTGCTGTCATCACCAAGAAATGTTTAAATTGGATATTAAGGAAAATGTATTCACTGGAAAGGTGGTCAGACATTGGAACAGAGAAGTGGTGGAGTCACCATGCCTGTAGGTGTTCAAGAAACCTCCTCAGATGTGACACTTGGGGACATGGTTTAGTGGTGTAGATGGCAGTGCTGGGTTAAGAGTTGGATTCCATGATCTCCCAGACCCTTTCCAATCTAAATGATTCCATGCTGTCTGTGTAGAACATTTCTGCATGTGAAATGTGAAAACAAGCAAATATCCTTAAATATATTTTGCATGAAATTCAAAAATCAAGAACAGCTAATGGTGAAGCTCCCATGGAGACTTGTCTTGATTGACTGTACCAAATTATCTAGATGACCTTTTCTTAGTATTGTAATGTCAGGGTGATTGGCATGCCACAACTAAGATTTTATTTCTCCTTGTAGGGGATCTGACCTTAGGCTGTATGTATAGATCTCCTTTATATTTCATTCACAAGATCAGGTAATTTTATGTGTATATACATACATATATATATATATATATGTATGTATGTGTATATATATATAAAACAGCTTCTCAATTTTTCTATATATAGAAAAATATTCTAAATCACTAATAAATTAATTAATAAATAATCCTTAATAATAGACCTCATTCCAACTCATTCCACTGATTCACTCTAGACAGTGGCAGCACTTTTTCCTCTCCATAGTCAATGCTGAAATGAATTTATTGTGTGATGTTTTCTCCTAATTTCTCTGCATTTATACCAAAGACAAAGGAGAATATCCTGAAAATTAAGCATGCCAGTTGTTACCTTGGTTTTAATTTTCTGGGTTTTTTTATTCTCAATTTTTCTCTAACCCAGGAAGAAGCATTGTCTAGACAAGATGGCCCAGCACCTTGTCCAGCTGAACATGAAAAATGTACAATGCAAAGGCAGCAAGAGACAGAAAAAGCAGGCAGGGCAGAGGAAGAAAATTACTTTGGGGGTGTTTGCCACAGCTGATGTGTGTTTGTTTTCCAGTTCTCACCTCCCTGTGCAATCACAGGCTGAGCTCTGTTCTCTGTCCTTGTTTATATTTGATGTCACAGCAAGAAGACAAGGTGCCATTAGCTTTTACTTGAAAGGTCATACTGAAGCTATTTTCCTCTAATCTGAGAGATTTCAGCCAAAGCAAAATAAAATTTTAAAATTTGGCCTAAGCAAGCCCCCTAACCCCTCTGTATCACAGAGAAATAAGTTAAACATTGAATTATATGTCGGGCAATTGCTTTGAAATTGCTCAACTCACTTTTCAGTCCCTGGTGTCAGTTTTTCCTCTGTGTGAAAGAGAATTAATTCTTCCATATTTGGGAAATTATTCTGCAAATTTTAGCCTGTCACTAACAAAAAAAAAAAAGGACGTCAGGATATATTTTAACTGCTTTAAACCCATGCAATGAAGTCATGTTTAATGTGAAGAATATGAGTGATCCCATCCGTAATAATAAATGCATTGTGGTGTCAGATGTGCCACTGGGCTCCTGCGTCTGGCTGGAGATTTGGATGTTTCAGCTAAGCCATGGTGACTGACCCTAGACTGACCCTATTTGATGGCTTTGGCAGGGTTACTTTTTCATTTTGTCACTTTTAATTTTGTGTTGTTGCTAGTATAGTGTTTGAAATTAAGGTTCAAACTTTATTTTCTCTTGACCAGGAAGAAAAAAAAAGAAGTAAGACATATCTCTACACTGTTTACATGAATATTGACCACAAGGTGAGCAGGACGCTCCTCTTTTTTGTGAGAAGCCTGCTTGTCAGCATGCCAGTGATAGATCAGATGTAAAGAAAATCACTTCTGCAAAACCAATTTGCTAAGGGGCTTGTAAAATCCATTTTTAAAAAGTTACTGAGGCAAAAAAAGTGAAGGGCCAGCCAACCAGATATTTTGATTGGCTCTTCAAGGTCAAAACCCGATTACTAATTCATCAAATACCTTACTGGTACTGCTGCTTGAGGAGCAAACAACTCGGCGGAGATGTTCTGCCTAATAATGCCAATATGGAAAGAGTGCTTTACTCACTTTTGGCAGTGCTGCAGTCGTGGGAGCTGTGGCCTGCACGGCACTGGCAGCCCAGCTCCGTGCAGCATCCGCATCCGCTGCAGAGTGCGGGACACCGGAGAGCAGCGAGGATCTCCTCCCGGGCAGCAGGTGCCTGGTTTCCAACTGGGAGCTCTCCCTTCCTGCTCCCCAGCACTCTCCTTTCACACTCATTTTCCAAAAGGGCTACCAGTGCTTTCACCCAAGCCACGTCGTCTTTGAGCTGCAGGTCCAGCAGGCAAATATCAATTGCCTCATCCAGGTGTTCTGCCAGGAGGCCTTTACACGCCAAGCCAATGGTGGAATTTGCAAGAATTTGGTGGCAAATCTCCTGAGCTTTGGTGGCAGTCAGGCCATTGGGAGTGGGCCATGACAGTGGGAATTTCATCCGAACCCCTTCAAAGTAATCCTCAGGGAAAAAATATGCAAAGCTCTCTGAGTGTCTCTGGGCTGGGCCATGCAGTGGGTGAAAGGATGAATATTTATAATACTTGTCTTGCCTCTTTGCTTTCATTAGGTCTCCTGTTGGTTTGGTAGAGTGAATAGAACTGTTGAGATTAATGGAAACTTTGTGTAGGAGGGGATTTAGTGGGACCTCAGGGCTTCTTCGCTTTTGGACTGATTTAGAAAAATATCTTTGACCAAAAGTCTTAGTTGGTGGTTTTGCCTCTTTTCTCAAAGTTGACTCTGCTTCTGCGTGAGTGACAAACTCAGATGTAACATCCAGATATGGGATTGCAAAGCTGTGGTCCACATGGTCATGATGGCAACCAGAGGGCTCATGGGAAGGAGTCTGAAAAGCATTTTTTGTGTTTTCCACAGCCACAGGTTTGGTGCTCTCCTGGCATCTGCAGAAATTTTTCCTTTGCTTCCTCTCAGAGGGTGCTGGAGTCTTGTCAAATAAACTCTTCCCTGGAGGAATTCTGATTTAAAAATAGGAAAGGATTAGAAAGAGAAAACTTTCAATAAATAAGTATACTCTCACTGAGGGTAGGGTAAGCATAAATTCCCCCATCTAAAAAGTACTTGAGAAAACACTTAAGTTCAACCTGTTTTCTTTAGTCACTTTTGCGCTGCCCTTCTTGAGTTGTCCTGTGTGTTTTCTAGCACTTCATGGAGACTTTTTATACCAGATGTTTAAGTGGTTTGCTGGAGCATTGCCTAACTGCTTGACTTCTCTTTGCAGGACTTTGTCTGAGGTGCAGGTTATCCTTTGTGTATTATATATGAAATAAGGCCTTGGATTTGTCCTTGGGTGACACAGCTAACTCTTGGAGAATGACAAAAATGTCATATTTGTTTCAAATCCTATATTATGAAAATCATCTTTATCTTTGTGCCTGTTCTGTCCTCTAAGATGTATATTGCTAACTTTTTTATTTTAAAATGTCTTCCCCCCACTTTTTTTTTTTTTTTTTGCATACGTCATTTCCTTCTTTCCTTCTACTAGAGTTTTTTTAGATTTTTTCTTTCAACACAAAGCAATTCTCTATTGATCATAGGGCATCATATAAGCTGAGATGATTGTCTTCCCCCTTTTAAATTTAGTCTCTAATGATAGATGAACTTCTAGAGACTTCAGTTTGAATAAACAGCCACGATTCAAGCTTCTTCGGAAATCTCATATCTCTTATTGATCTTATTTGTGCAGCACAAGAGGAATCTTAGAGCTTCATAGGAAAGGATATGTTTCTTGTCCCAATATTTTGCAGCATGTCATTACCAGACAAATTTGAAAGAGCACCAAAAATTAAAATCATTTTGGCATTAATTTTGTCTTGCAGCCAAATGTTGGGGTTTCAGGAAAGGGAAAGCATTTGCCAACATATTGGAGCCAAACACTAGATACTGTTGTTGGAAACTGTAATTGCCTTTATCCAATTTGTTAGAAATATGTTTTAAACGGCATATCTGATATTACCATTTTGATCATTGACACAATCATAACTTTTAAATAGAACATCTCAGTGACACTGGCAAAATTAACTTATTTCTCCTCCTGAAACATGAGCACAAATATTTACAGAACTGTTTTGCCCAAAGTGTGGGCTCAGCAGGGGACAGTATGAGACAAAAGGGTGGTTTTCATGCTCATGGAAATGAACAAGCTGTTCTGCACTTCTCTCTAGTCTAGGAAAATAAAAGGGTTTTGGTGATTGAGAGATTTGTCCTTTGGACAAACATTTTAGTGTCTGAATGAGTGTCCTTCACGCTCCATACCTCTGGCTCTAATGGAGGGGTTATCTGCCCCTGAAGCTTCTCTGACTCAGCATCAAGTAAATTTAAACCTAGACTAAGGCAGCAGAAGTAGCTCCTCCTTTGATATAACACTACATAAACTAGAGGCTCTTGTAAATATAATTTATTTAATAAAAACAATAAATCAACCACATAAACTGGTCCAGAATCAGGACAGAAACTTAAAGCACCAATGAAAATTTCACTAAAATGAAACTCTTTTGCCTTGATGTTTTATTGAAACAAAATCTTCTGTTAATCCTACATTAAACCAATTACCTTATTTTGGTCAGCCCCTGTCCACAGAACTGGGGTGTATGGTGTGGAAAGAAAGGAAACCCCAACCTCCTCACAGCCACGCACGTACAGCTGCTCCACAGTGAGCTCAAATGTCCCTCTGTCCTCTGCATGAGATGACCAGACTATCATTCCCCTAAGCCACTCACTATAATCCAGGAAGAACTAAAAAAAAAGTTTTTTCATCCAATTGAGTTGGATGCTATTACAGAGAAAGTGTCCAGAATTTAACAGCATTTCTGCTAGTTTCTTGGTATATTTTGAAATGTCTGAAGATTTTATTTTGCCTACTTAAATCACATGTTTTAAAATTCATCTCTTCTCTGGCTGCTATTTCGTGGCTGGGAAGCTCTGATGTTGTTTTACTGTTTAAAAAGTTGTGTTGGAAAGCTGGTGTGTAAAACTGATCTGTGCATGCAGGGCCCTGCAGCTGCTTGAGAGAGGTGGGAGCCAGGGAAAGCTCTGAACTGCCAGATGGTGGGCACTCAGACTAGCTTCAGGTGCTGGAGAAAACCTAGCACACTTTCAGGGTTATTTAAAATGAAATTAAAAACAGTAGCAGAAAAGTCACCCTCTAGCTTTTGTTTTTTACTGGGCCATTTCTCAGTGAGTGGATCAGAGAATGATCCAGTCTCCTCTGGAGGTGACCTCAGTTTCTCTGTTGGTTTATTTATACAGGTTCTGAGGGGGTCCTTAAGAATCCATCCTTGGAAGTAGTGCAAGATGAAACTCACCACCTCTCCTGCCCTTTTCACTTAGCAGGAGCTTCTGCCTTCCCTGAAGAATCTCCATCACACAGCCCTAGAAAACTCCTCAGTGTTTCATAACTAAACTCCTTTGCACTGTGCTTTAGCTCCAGCTTTTTCAACAAAATTTTTTTGAGCAAGTTCTCCTAAGGAACTTTTAGCCCTTTTTTGGGGCAGTGAGTTATTGGTTGGTTCTTGCACCAAGCTATTTCTCCATCTGCCTTCCCAGAAGCAATCTCTGACTGATTACCCCATTATTAGGATGTTAATGATGGCTGTTGAATTCTAAATAGTAGAATTTACAATGACAGGCCAAAACAGACATTAAATAGCCATTACTTAGGCCCACTGAATAGAACTACAATATGGCAGAGGTGCTTATTTGTTTTCTGAAGTGCAAGGAGTCTAAAAATTCATTGTTCCTTTAGAATTGTGCCGAGCTCCCATGTACAGATTAAGTGCAATGTTAGTGTTTTGCCTTTTTTTTTCTTTACTTCACAAACCAGGCTACTACACAAGCAAACCCATTTTGGTTGTAGGAACACCTATTAGGCATGTTTGAAGTTTAGCAACAGGAATTAAAATGTGGGATAGGGATAGAGACAGGAGCAGGGATAGGGATAGGGACTGTGACAGGGAGATGTCAGAGTCAGACTCCTGACTGTTTCCAGACCATCTGTCCCAGAAAGTACAGGTTTTCAGAGCTCACTGTCATCATTAGTAGAGTTGATATTAGGTTTTAGCATGGTACATATATTACCAGACTTTGTCAAAATGTAACATTTAATCTATACTCACGTATTGTAATTAGCATTGAGGAATAAAAGAACAAGAGAAATACGAAACCCTTAATTAATCCCTATTGTCAGCTACCTACATTTTCAAGTGTGGGTGAGGAAAAAAAAAAAACTGGCAGGGTTCAAAACAAGAAGTAACTGTGTGGATAATGGATTTTTCAGATTGGTTTACTAACCAAATAATAAAATGAAAAAAAAAAAAAAAGCAAAAAGAAAATATCTGTTCAACTGATTTTTTTTTTGTTTGTGGTATTTTTACAGGTAAAAAAAACTATTTAAAAATTATCTGGGCCTGGAGAGGAAGCAGGAACATACTATCAAGATAAATAGCATTAATACTTTCTTTTTATCCAAAATTAAAAAATTTCAGTTAATCTTAAAGAGTTGCAAACATTTCATTATAATAATTTCAAAATAATTATTTTCCTTTTTAAAGTGGCCCCTGCCTAAATATAACTTATTTATCCAAACAGTGTCATGTGTTTTCCTTTATTTTGGGTGAGGATTTTCTGGTCCCTTTGAAGTTCCTCCCCATCCCCCTGTGAAGGTGTAACAAGCTCATATTTTTGTTCTTGTGCTTGAATCCAGAGTTTACTCAGAGTTTGGCTTCACTAAATTATAATTCTGCCCATTTTAGTTCCCCATTACTTCAGGCTTTTTGTAGAGGGCTGCGTGTAAAACCCTTGCAGTCAGAACTGCATGAGCTGCTCAGTCTTCTGCACTGTCCAGATTAATATTTCCAGGTGTGGATTTATTTCGGGAGTTTGGAGGGCTCTCACCCTCTCCTTTCCTGCTGCCCCGGGCAAGGCACCCCACCTGGATTTAATGCTGCTAATTGAGGCTTCAAAGAAGGTTTTTTGAGCCCTCAGTTTGCAGAGTTATTTAGTGACTGCCTGCTGGAAGCTGTCGCTTTGAGTGACCCAACCCCGTTCTGATCCTCCTTGAAGGTTGTGGGAGCCAGTGGGAGCCAGTTCCTGAGCTGCAAGAGGATAATGATGGACAAGTGCTGCGAGGATTGGCAGGCACCCCACTCGGAGGTGTGCTCAGGGATCTTGTTCACTGCTGCACAGCTCCTGTAGATTCCCACTCACATCACAGCAGGATTCACATTGTGTCCCCAGTGTGCCCTGATTTGTTTCCCTGAGTTTTACCTCAGGAGTAAATGAGAACAGGGATTCCTCGCTAAGACTATCCTAGTAATAAAACAGTAATTATATTGCATTCAGTTGCAAAATGAAATGACAGCTTGATTCCTTCTTTTTCTCTATTCTATAATTAACAGACTTTCAATTACTGCCTTCCTGAGGTCTATTCCAAGTGAGATCACAAGGAGAGCCAAGCACAGGCACTTCCTGCATCATTCTGGCTCTGCTGTGGACCGATCTTCATCCAAAACATTTCATAGCAATAAATCTTGATGATACAACTCTAGGATAGAATTATCTTCTTGGCCATAATTTGCAGCTGTTTTCCTTACCAAAACCCCTGGTGCAGCCTGCTCTTATTTTTCCAGTGATTTCAGTCTATTAGTGTGGATAAGCAATACTTATGCAAAGTAAGTTGTGGCCATATATTTGTTTAGGCAAATGCTTTATGTTACAGCAAATGTTGCACATTTACAGCCCATTTTCATAGCTTTTGGGGGCTCTCTGGATCTGACTAATAGTGTCTTACTGCTCCACTCAAAAACTCCATTACTCTGCTACCTGTGATCTCACCTTGCATATTTATATCTTGAGCTCTGCAAAGAAATTTGCTTGATGTGATGTGATGTGGTTGGGTAGTGCCTGGCATAAGCAAACACGGAGTGCTGCAGAGAGTAAGCAGTGCTATCAGAGCGCCGCTGTGTCGCCAAAAAATTTCCAGAGGTGTTTGTTTTATTTGGTTTTACAGTTTGCTAAACCAGCACTTTAACCAGCTACTTCCCTGCCTCTCGTTTTGGCTGCAGGCGCTCTGATGGCTTCAGATATTTTCATAGCAACTTCATTGATAATTCAGAAATACTACAGGCGTGTTCTCAAAGCACAACCGCCACAAGAGCGCTCAACCATCCACGCACGTACTGTTATTTTCCTGCCTCCGTAAGACTTCAGGATTTTGACTAGCGGCGATGCCTCGGTGCTTTTGATGGTCAGCTGGGGCCCGCTGTCCTGAAAGTGGCCATTGCAGGTGTCCAGCACCACGGTGTCACCCCCTTCTCGTGCAGCTACGCCACAGTTGCAGGCGGTGGCGGAGCGGTGGCCGCCGCAGTCCCACTGCCGGACGTGCACCTCGAACGCCCGCGACTCGCTGCGGCACAGCAGGAACGTCCCGATCTTGTGGCTGTCGTAGCGCCTGAACAGCCACGAAGAAACAAAAACAGACAGGGTTGGACACCCTCAGCATGCACCTGTGTTGGGAGCTTGTTGGCACTCGTACAGCAGCGCTCCATAATTAGAGCAGAGTGCTGGCTGGCCTTGGAGGAGGGAGCCATGCACACATGGGGAAGAGTTTCTCAGGGTCTGTATCCAAGGGAATGCCGTGGCAGTTGTTAGCTGGAAGTGCCTAAGAATTCCTGTGAAAAGCAGGAGTTGTGTCCCAGCTGCTGCCATGGCAATGGGCATGGATAAAAAGGGTAAACTTCTGATATAAAGCAAATGGGAAGAAGTTTCCTGCCGCCAGGTCTTAATAAATATATTTAGGTTCTAACCAGTTGATTTTAGAGTATGATGTTGAAAGGGAAATCAGTGCTCAAATAACCTCTTCTGTCACTAATCACCAAATTTTACAAGTCTGGCTGTGGCTAGGTAAAGGCTTCCTGTGAAAATCTGGGATTCTGTTGAAAGCCAGCTAAAATGAATTTTGTTCCTCCCCCTCAATGACTTGCCCGTAAGCACAACTTTCACACTCAATGGATCAGCAATCAGCGTGGGGAACAATTTAGGACTTTCATTCTTTTCTGAAAGGAACATCCCTTCTCCGTCTGGGTGAGGCAAGAGCAGGATACTTTAATAAGTTTGCAAGTATTTGGCCTCTGCATGAACCATCTGGAACCTCTGGGGTTTCCACAACAGAGAGAGGACCCTCTTCTGTTTGTCCTTAGTGCTGTCACCCCATAAACTTGTCTCATTCTCACTCTATTTTATTCTGTTATATAAAAGGAAATAATAGCCATATACTTAATATATGTTGTTGATGTTTTCTCCCTATAAGCCAACAGCTTCCATTTTTAAAAACAATGGATTATTCTGCTTTCTTTTAAGGCACTGTGATTAGTTTTAAACTCAATTTTTAAGAGATTAACTAATATAGAAACTAAGCTATAAGCTTATAATAATAAACTGTATTATTTTCTACAATAAAAAAAAACATTAAAAGGAATGTATAAAATGCTTCTGCTAAATAACAGGATTATTTTTTAAACAGTGCTATACAAACATCCACATTGTTTCAGGCCATTAATGCTTCTTATGCAGAGGAACAAATGGCTTGTGAACTGTGACTTTTTCACATGTATATTTCTGTGTTTTGCTCCTCTTCAGAAGAAAAGCTATAACTGTGTAGCTTAAAACACAATAAAAATTTAAACTCCAGCTCCTTTTCTCTGATAGAAAACACATCTGACTTTATCTTTCATCTTGAAAAACTTAGGTTGGCCATAAAGTGATAAGGTTTTGAATGGTTCTGTTTCTTCCTATTTTCTAATCAGATACATAAATCCTGTATTACACTGCATAGATGCTGCTGCTAAGATTGATCAGAACTAAGGACAACATAAAAAATAGATAACCTCTTTAAACCTCTAGTACTCACTTCATTTGGATGTCTTTATCGGGGAGAAAGAGGATATTTTATGAGAGCACCTTCCACAATTTCCTTCTGCAGGAACAGCTTAGAAGGAGAGGTGTTTGAGGAGGCTGATGGGAAATCAGGGATCAGATTGGCTGTACCCAGACTAATCATCTCTGTCTGGTAAAGGAAGGCTCTTTTTGCATATGCATATAAATGTCATTGCAGTCACGGGAGCTATTTATTTCTTAATAATCACTGACAGTGGACCCAATCCAACCCCCTGGAAGTCACTCTGAGTCCTTCAATTAAGTCATGGCATAGATTGCACAGCACAAACCTGCACTGTGCCTAAATTAGAGCTTTCAGGCGCCCTCAAATCAGTTGAATGGATAATTGGATGTAGTCAGGTAAACTTTTGTGATGTTTGTACAACTGTAATTGTGATAATGATTCTTTGGACAACCTTGGAGTTGCCTGTAGTACTAAGCAGGCTTAGAGCAGCTCTTGCAGGAGGGAGTTCTGTGTGTTCAGAACCAGCCACTACTGTTTGTGTCTAAATCTCCCTCCACAGTGCCCTTCCCCACCCCGAGAGTCTGCAGCAAGGGCAGCCTGGGTGAAAAGGGGTCCCTCCCTCCCCCTCTGTGTGCTTAGATTGTTTTGCAAGGGGGAAGCAAGTTCTTGTCCTGGCACAAAGTCATGGCTCGAGTTATGCTCTTTATCCAGTAATTATAAAACACTCCTGTTTGGTTATGGCAGTGAGCTTCTATAGGAATAATTTCTGTTGGTAAATCATAAGAGAGGGGGTAAATCATAACAGAAGGGGATATAGACATATGTAAACTACTACTACCTAGTAGTGTTCAATTACCTCACACCCTGCACTTCCTCTTCACCAAGCTGCACTTTACCTTTGTATTTATTCAGTGTTTTTTGTGGTCATTCCTGAAGATTTTCCACAACAGCTTTGCCACCAAATGATTTGATTTGCTGGCACGACACTCCAGGCTCCTTCTCGCTTTGCTGCTAGGAACTATTTCATGGTAGGCTTGGCCCTGTGAAGAGCTGGGTGATGCTGAAGGACGTTCTCTGCTTTCAGAGCGTTCATCCCATCACGTTGCTCTCAGAGCAGATGTTTAGTTATATTCAGCAGGCACTGGATGCCTGGGGACACCTAAACTGCTGCAGACTATCAAAACCCCAGCACCTGGCAGGGCTACTCATGGCCAGGACTTAGCTTGGGCTCCTATGATGAAAGTCATTAAAGCCAACCAGCAAATGGTGCCATTTCCTTGGTGATAATATTGATGGGATAATATGGATTAGTGTAAATTTTTGAGAAATCTGAAAAATCTTTTAACCTTTTTTGGTTAGGTAAAATGCAAAATAACATAAATGATGTATATAGTTCCCCAATCAAAAGAATTTCCCCTTTTTACTTTGCCCTAAAAGGATTTTCTGCATATTTAGTTTTAACCTAGTACTTCATATTTAAGAATCTGCGATTTATGGCATGAAAAGCTTTTATATTTATAATGTGCCATAACCAGTAATGAGGGCTATACTTTTGCTTTACCAGGCTTTCACATTTGTTTAATTTAGAAGGTACTTTGCTATAAAAGGAAGTGCTCTCTCTGGATTTTAGCTGGTATAATTAACGTTATTTCACATCTACGCTCCAATATACACAAATTGATTGTGCTTATGCTGTAAAATATGACACATTCTTCTTTGATTTTCAGTCACTGCCTTTGGTGAAAAGAATGAAAAGATTACAAGATAAATATTCCTACAGACATATATTAGCAGGAGGCACAGCAAAGGGGAGTGTTATTAAGGAGTGGGAGTTGGGTATTTCAGTTGTCTCATGAATAGCTAACTACCTCAGATGTAATGTGAGCTCACTATGTCGGATTAAAACCACTGGAAACATCACAATAGAAGTTAAAATTACATTGGAAGTGGCCATTTCAGTAAGAAAATTGTACTGCCAATAAGAAAAACACTTCCAGTCTTTTGATTTTTGTACCATTTTTCAATTTTTCAAATTCATTCAAATAACTATTTTTATTGAAGTTAAATTTTAAATTTTTAATGATTTTAGTTTAAATTTTGAAAATTCAAAAAGGTTCTCATTCCAAACACATTTTCCCATGACACTCCCTTCCATGAAAAGATGGGAATGCTTCCCTTCCAGACCTCTGAGTCAGCCTTTGCCTTCAGATTATAGTTTTGTACCAGGACAGAAGCAGGAATTGCTTTCCTCACTCCTTAAAGACAGAGCTTTAAAATCATTTGCTAACATGGTAACAATTCTTTTTGGATAGGCAGTCAGAGAAGTTGCTTAACTGATGTGTAATAAGGTAGCCTAATCATTATAATAATTGAAAGAGAAATTATTTACAATAATAAATGGGAATATAAGTAGGAGTAATGGGACTGTAAAATGATGGGTAAGAAACTTGGCTGAGTATCAAGAAGTGATACATCTTAGGGAAATAACCTAGTTATTGAGATGGACGAAGCCCCATCAGCGTGGCTCATTTAAAGCTGCACTGGACAGAGCAGTGATGAATGTCTGTCCACAAGGAAAAACGTGCAGCTTTTGAGGGGCCAAGCTGATCCTGGGCTTTTCCTCTTTCCAGTCTGTGTGACTCTGAGGCAGGATGACACAGACTGATGGGCTTTTCCAAACTCCCTGGGCCAAAACAAAACATAAATTGCTTAGAAGCATTTCTGTGTGATATCAACAATAGGATTCAAAATTAGTTATTCAAATAAAATTGCTTTATTTGGTTTTAGACCTTTTTTTCTCCCATGGAAGCAATGTAAAAATGTGCTACATGGCTGGAAGGGTGTCCCCATTCCAAGAGGTACTTTTTAGCTATTTTTAACTCCCTAAACACAACAATCTGACACTGCCTGTTCACAGCCCTAAATCAAAAGGGAGTATTTTAGAATATAAATGTATAGAGAGGTTTGAAATAATACTCTGATCTAGTTTAACATCCCAGAGTTGAAATAATTGCAGCTACATGAGGTATGGGAATATCTTTGAACATCATGCAGCTCTGATGAAGCTTCCAAAGCAAGAAAAGCACCCAAACTTGTATGAAACAAGTTCCTGGACACACTTAAATGCTGTTCAGCAAAGCAGAAAGGGGTCTGGGAAACTGTGGATAAGCAGAGCTAATCTCCTACCTCAGACTGCCCAACTGATGTGAAATCTTTGTTAGAAGCAGAAGTGTAACCTTTAATGGAGTAACTGCCTTTCTTACTCACATTTCATCAACAGATTTCTCCAGGTTTGACATCATTTCAGATGCCACCTCCAGAGCATGTTGGACTGAAACTGGGATGTCAGGATAGCAGAAATTCCCACCTGCCAAGCCCTTGTGGATGCTGTGCACCCAAAGTCATTGTCTGTGCCCTCAGGAGGTCAATGGCAGAATGACAAAATTGGAATGTCATCTGAAATATTTGCAACATTGGATCAAATGTGCCAGGTGCAAATTTTAAAAACTTTCAGTGGTGCAAATTAGCTGGGATAAACAGATTAATGAATGATTAAGGAAGTTAAATGTGGAAAAGTTCTATACAGTTCAGGCTGTCAAACACAAAGGCCACTTTGGCTCAGTAAGTCTTTAAGCAGCTCATTGCTGGGTAATGCAGAAGGACATTTGGACACTACAGGAGGATGTACAGTTTTATTTCTGCATTCTTCTCCTGATATTTGACACTTATAATTTCTGCATTTCTTTATCTGAGACATTAGAGCCATCTTTATGGGGTTTTTTGGTTGTTTTTATCATTGTCAACTCCAGCTGGACATAATCCAGCTCTGGAAACAGAAGAAATCAAGAGCATCCTTCTGATGAGTGACTTTGCAGCAGGTGTTGCTAAACTCCTGGGAAGGCTGTCCCTGCTCTGTGCTGTGCTGCCCTGGTGACATAATGTGTCACTTGGATGGCACTGGGGTGTCACTGACACAACAACCTGTGTTGTAGACACCCTCACAAAGCCACTAGTGATGGTTCCATTTGAAGAACATTTTGGAACCTGACCTTTGTCTTGTAAAAATTATTCAGACTCAAACACATTGCTCCTCAAAGATTAATCCATTTCTAGTCCTTTTGTTAAAAGGAGTACACAGCTGGAAGGAAAGCACTTGTGCTGTTGGAAGGAGAACATTCCTCATTGTGAGCAAACCTGTTCAATGCTTTTTTGATATTCTAATGTAAACCCAAATGCATGCCACATCCAGAAACTGATAACTGCAATAATTGAGCCAAATTATTTCAAAGTAAAATACTCACCATCCATCAAATGTGATAATGTGTGGATCAGTGAAAGAGTAGCAGTTCCCTGTTGGGAGGTCTTGAACTGTGACCTAGTTAAAATGAAATGTGTAATGAATACAGTCTACACAGCAGTTTTCCTTCATTACTGTTCCTCACAAAACATGAGGGGCAGGATTCATGGGTTAAGTACAAACTACAATCTGACTTCTGAAACATGATTGCAGATGGGGACAAAACAAGCTTTGTTTTCAAACAACAGTGTTTAATCATAGCCAGTGAGCGAGTTCAAAGTGTTCCTGTTCATCTGATGCAATGTCTTCCTTTATCTGGTAAAAGCTCAATTTTTTTTTTTATTAAAACTTTTTGCTAAGGAGCAGATCATTCACTGAAATTACCAGGAGAATAGAGTGCTCATTAAATTGTACTAATTTTAATGCCTGAAGTATGGTAAAAAGGTATGCTGTAATTAAGTAACATTAGCATGTTTTAGTAGAAGCTGCCTGTCCCCTGATTTGACCTCAGATTTCCCGTTACAGCATCTGAATGGCTGATTTATCTATTTGATGTGGATATTGATCAGATATTGATGAGGAAGCTCCAAATTACACTGCTTTAAATATGTGGGTGAAACAGGAAAGGATCTACTGCAGCTGCAGAGATCTTCATCTGCATCAGCCCTTGACTCCTTGGGCACCAGCGGGGTCACAGAGGAGCTGAGAGAGCCCTGGTACCCTGCAGGGAGCAGATGTGCAGGCAGGGCTCTGCAGCTGTAACACCTGAATCTCAGGCACTGCTGGGCCCACATTGCCAGGTCTGCTCAAGAGGGTGTTTTTTTTAATGGCTGAGTGCTCTCCTGACCAACTCCCAAAAATGCAGCACTGACTTGTGTAGTGATTTGTGATATGAAGCGCTCCCAGTGATATTGGTGGGAGTGATGGAGTGCTATGGTTTTCCATTACCCATCCTGACAGACTGATTTCTTGGCCAGGGCTGTTAATTCTTTGCTCCCTCCCTGCCCATGAGGAGCCCAGAGGTGCACTCCAGTTAGTTCTACCAGGATCCATGGAGCAGGGAAGAAGGATGGCTGCTATATCCCTGTGCAGTCTTTCAGTGACAAAGCAGAACTTGGCTTTTGGGAACAGGGGTGAAATTAAATAAATGAATTAGAGGTGAAGATAGAACTTCAGTTCCTGACAACATTCCTCACCTGCAGCAATGCATCATCTGTATTTCAAAATGCCCCTAAACCATTACACAGAAACACTTAGATGCCCACCTGTGTCTGGCACACCAAACTTTTAGAATGATGGTCTTGAGGACTGAAAAAATGAACCCCTCTTTGAACAACTTTTTGATCTGGGATCAGCTGTATCATTTGGATTTACTCTGTCATATGAAGTGTCGCAGAATTCTCCCATTTTCTCCACAGCCTCACACATCCTAAGTAAAAATTTAGCACAAACAAATCCATGTGGCCCTTCCTGCTCTGTTCCTTCTTGCATGATGTCAGCAGAAGACACAATTCCTGGTTGGAGGCAGGACAAGTTTGCTGAGGAAATCCTGTTTACAGGTATCTAGACGTGTTAGGAAGTTCTGCCCACCATTTCTGTTCAGTTTTCAGATAAATCAAAAATATCTGAACAAGTCAGAAGGATTAAAGATTATGTGGATTTTAATACATGGACGTTTTCTTGCTATGTTGCAAGAACTATGTTACATTAAGGCCTCTAATTAACTACAAAGCAGCAATGGAAAAATATGGGGGAGGGAAGTATTGTCTATTATGCTTCCATATATCAAGTTTTAACAGAGATAAATGGAATTTATTATTAAAATTGATTTATTCAATTTCACACTTGATACATCTTCATATTTTAATGAAACTGTTTGTAATTTCAAGAAAAAATATGAGTGTGTGAGTGCACGATGGTGAATTAGCTGTAATTTCTGGTTTAAGAACTTTAAAAAGAAGCCAGTTCTGGAGATGAAATGTTATACACCCATGCTAGGCATTTTGCCTTTGAAGACAAACATTCTTTTGGTCCAATTTAATCTTATTCTCTTATGACAAAATCCACAAAAATTGGGGCAGGGAATTTGTGGATTTCACTGGGGGGCGGTTTTCAGGTACTGCCAGCTTGGATGTGCCCCTGCTCTGAGAAATTTAGCTCAGTCAAATCTGTGCTCTGGTTAATTTTTTGGGATTACAGCTCTCAAACCTCCCAGCTGAGGTGCTGAAATAACTTCATGGAGAAAGGGCTGGTCCTTGCCCACCACATTTCTTTAGCCAGGCTTTCTATAGGGAAAGTGTAGCTTGCCTTCCTCATTGGTTTGGTTTGGGTTTTTTTTCTTTTTTTTTTTTTTGGACATTTTCTAGTGGTATAAATGAAGAGATGGAGCAGCCACATGTGTAATTGAAAGAGTCCTGGCAATTCACAGCACAGTCACAAACTGAACACAGCACTGCTGAAGCCCCTTCTCCTCTGTCCTTTCTGAGGCTTTGCCTTTCCTCTGCTTTTTCAGAAAATGTTCTCCAAACGTTTTCTCCTCCCTTTTCCCCTCCCTCCTTCTCAAAAACATGCTCATTCCCTAACCCATGTTCTCCCTCTTCCCTTTTCCAGTGGGCAGAAGCACTCCTGGTAACTTCTGTGTTCCAGCTCTTGGAACTGAGGTCAGCACTGATGTGCTGACTAATAATCAAACCTAAATCTGTCAAAGCACAGGGAATTCCATTTAATTTTCTTGGTGTATAGAGTGACTGATTTGCTTTACTCTGCTGACAGAGGGCAGGGTTAGATCAGATATTAGGAAAAAATTCTTTATTGTGAAGGTGGTGAGGCCCTGGCACAGGTGGCCCAGAGAAGCTGTGACTGCCCATTCTCTGGAAGTGTCCAAGGCCAGGTTGGATGGGGCTTGGAGCAACCTGGGACAGTGGAAGGTGTCCCTGCCCATAGCAGGGGTTGGAACTGGATGATCTTTAAGGTCCCTTCCAGCCCAAATAATTATGACAATCACCCCTAATTTTGGTCCCTTCCAGCAAGAAAAAAAAAAAGGAAAAAATAAAAGGAAAAAAAAAATAAGGAAAAAAAAAAAAAAGAAGGAAAGATAAAAAGAAAAGCCTCTCATTTAGATTTGCCAGATTTTCCAACTGATTTCAGGACCTAACCTTCACATCCCTGGGTGTGTGAGCCCTCCAGAGCCCATCCCTTGGCGCGGCCGGCCGAGCGCTGACGCGGCTGACGCGGGGCCCGTCCTGCGCGAAGTCCGTCACGGCCGTCACCGTCACCGTGGCCGCAGCACAGCCGCTCCCCGAGCACGGCTCCGGCAGCAGATCCACCCGGCAGGCCGAGAGGGCGATGTCAGGGGGCCCTGGGACCTGGCTGCCTGCAGTGAACACCAACACAGAGTCTGACAGGAGTCATCCGAAGTGCCGCCCGTACCACGCTCTGTTCAACAGGAACGCTTCCCCTTCCAGGACACGCAGGCCTCGTGTCCAAGGCTGAAAGGTTTAGCTTGAGAGCCCCTTAATTTCAAAATTATAATAATTTGGAGGGAGGAGGTTTACATTTTCCATGTGAAGGAAGGCTCCTGCCTTCCTTAGCAGACACCTGTCTTTTCAAACCAAGACTCCTTGGAATCAGATGGGCTTTGCATGAAGACAGTTGTGACTGAGTGAATCTGGCATCCCTCTGCACTCTTCACTGTGCTGCTTTTTTATCCCCAAAGTTTGCTAAAAACTCGGTGGTGTCTATTTTTCCACAGGTACTAATATTTCTGGGACAACAGTGTTATCTTTATGGGTCCATGCCCAGGGGATGGAGAGAAGTCGTTCTCATGACAAAGAAAGAGATGAATCTGTGTTCTGGAAAACAATTCTCTTTCACTGTCTGGAGTATAAGGAGGTGTCTGCTGGCCATTATTTAATTTAAAATAAACAGGTGTTTTGATGTGAAAAGGGAGGGTTCTCGAGTAAGTTTTTGGTGAACTATGGATCCACAACAGCAAGGCAAATGCAGCAGGTCTGTATTTGTATTTTTTGGCTTAGTTATGTTATGGTATTTTACTTCCCAGTCTGTAAAATGATGATAGTTTTGTTTGTATTTATTTGCAGAAGTATTGTGCTGATAAATTCACTAAAAAATTGAGGAAAAACACTAAGCTATGGAGATACTGGCTATGTCAGCATCTGTGGTGGGTAAAGAAATGACGTGTGGTGACAAAATCAGTGTGACAATGGCACTGCTCATCATATCTTTCCTAAAGAGACCTCTACACACAGCCAGAATGGCACTGTCCCCTTCTCTCAGATCCTGACCCTTTCTGCTGAGGTCTCAGGTGAAGGGCAAACCTGGATTCTTATTTCCATAGGTGTGTTTTCCCTTGCACACACTGAATTATGATAGCATTTAGTTCTGAGCCATCTGCTCTGCACTACATACAATGTGCATTTTCTTCCCAAGAAGCCACTCAAGCTTTCATGAATCCTTTGGTCGGTAGGAAATGAAACTGTGGTCCTGCTGAAGCCAGTCAGAATCCAAATGCTGATTTCAGGATTTACAGTGTTTCTTGAGGAATACTTAGTTTTCTGTCCCAGACCACTAATTATCATCAGATAAGAATAAAATTCTAGAAATGGTGGGCATAAAATTAATCTGAGATGAAAACAAGTGATTCTCTGATATTAAAGTAAGTGATTTTTATATCATTCTTCCCATTTGTAAAATTGCTTAATAATTTCTAGAGATGGCATTGAAGAATTTTAGGATGGCATTTCTAACACAATCAAATAATCACTGTCTTATTCCTTATGGAAAAATCTTATGAAATATAATTTAAATTAACCCTGTACAGTACTATGGGAACTAAACTAAAATCTGCAGATATTAATGACATTTTATCTCTCATATCAAATCCTTAAAGGCTGCCTCACATCACATCTTATAGAAAAGTCCTGGCTCATTTTCAAGGTTCTTGATTCAATTAAATTGAAGGTTTCCATGAAGAATAGTTATTGCCATTACAGCCCCATGAGCTATGCTCAAAACCCAGAACAAAAGTTTAAAATCAAAGAAAATCATCTTGTCAAAATAGTAGCGATAAACTTAACAGAAGCCGAACTCCAGTGGCTCTGCTGTGCCTTGGCGTTCATTATGATATTGTCTGAACTTGGAGAGATATTTCTGTGCTTGTAATTAGCTTTCTTATCACTTATTCCCTACATAATTAGCACAAGAGTGTAGTTATATGGATTCAGTCAGACAAGGAGCTTGTCAGTTAATTTATTCGGTATAAACGAATCGCAGCTAAAATGGTTTTTATTTTTAATTTCCAGCACTGTGGCCAGCACACATTTTTCAGAAGCCTGCAGTGCTCCTTCAGATAAACTAATGGACCCTAAAGACAATAAAGGCTCAGAGCAAATGTGGTTGTGCAGACACCCAGCAGCAGATCCTCAGCCTTAAGCATATATAGATAGCTCAGTAGATAACAGCCCGAGTGTCATCCCAGGAAATGGCCTCGGGATGGAGCAACCAAGGGCTGGAGTTGGGTTTAGTTTAAGCTGCAGAAAACTCGATGAGTTGATCGAAACTAACAGGAATTTTCCACTTCAGTGACAACTTCTTTCAAATATGAGTTAATTGGACGAGCTGTGCCTTCCTCCTGGCACCTCTTGGCACCAACACATCAAGCCCATTGACAGCTTGCAAATAGAGCTGCTTCTGCAGGTCCTGTGTCCTCTCTTTCTTCCAGTCAAGTGCTCACTGTGGGACTGGAGGAGACCTTGGTGAGGGGTCAGTCCCAGTCCAGTGTGCTGAGCTCAGCCTCCCCTGCCTGAGAGCTCCTGGCGCACGCTCCCAGTGTCAGAGAGACTCTGAAAGCCTTGATGGAAGCCTAAGAAAATGTGAGTTAAACAAATGGCCTTGACTGGGACTAATTCCTGTCTGATTCTCAGTGTCTGATTGCTTGGGGTCTGTGGGGATGTCCCAGCACACACCAGTCCCTCAGTGTGAGGCAGCCTTTCCTCCACCTGGCCATCCAAGGAAATCCGTTCCCATGAGCTCAGAGGATGCCTTCCTGATGGAGCAGCCCAGACTCCAAGCCAAGAGCAGTGTGTAGAACAGAGCAGCACTGAGCCATGGAGAAATGCAAAGTACTGCACGCACGAGAGCCAGCACAGCTGCTGGAACCATAAGGTGCTGCTCAGTTTAAGTTCATTGTGTTATGATACCATTTAAATTATTTTTCTTTCTTCTGTCTAAGCACTTGGCTGATGGTGAGGAGAGCTAGGAAAGGGAATTAAAAAGAGAAATATATCAGGACCTATCTGGGTTTTGCCAACATTTTTTAGAGCTGGCTTTTTGTGGGTAGAGAAATTGCAGCTGTAATCCTACCTCTAAGCATTTTTCTCTTTGAATCACTTATGGAAGAGAAAGAAGTGACGTGTTATAAAAAAGCTTGGATGTTTTATTTAGTGCAAATGGAAAGTAAATACCCACGTGCCACCCTTAGGCAGGATGAGTATTCCACCTGATTGACCTGAAGGCAGCATTTACTGAATAAAAGGACAAGAGTTTTCTCAGTGACATTGTCAATGTTTTCAAGTTAATAAAATAAAAAAAAACCCTAAATGTTTAGAAAGAGAATAATACATAAGCACAAGAATGATTTTTTTCCTTCTGTATTAAGTTAGACACAAACTATAACCCAGCAAAAGGAAGAAAAAAGGCTTCACTATGCATTTACTGAATAATAAATCTGCAGGGGAGCTTTTTATTGATAATTAATGAAATTATTCTACCTAAGAACATTCCTGCTACAAAAAAAACCCCAAAAAAACCAAAAAATAAAACAAAACAAAAAACAAACAAAACAAAAAAAAAAAAAAAAAAAAAAAAAAAAAAAAAACAAACAAAACCAAAAAACCAAAAAAACCCTAAAAGTGGAATTTTAAGCTCCTGGAATTTAAAATAAGTTTTTCTGCTCTCAGTTATTTAATCCATAAATCTCAACAGACTACTGTTCAGGTTATTGCTAGTCAGATTTATGGCTTTGGGGTTTTTTTCTCTCAAAATTCTGACAGGTATAATCAGCTGTTTTATTTTGCAGATAAAAATATGGCCTAGTTTGCTGATTTTATGGCTTCTGCCCTTTGGTATTATTTATATATGATATTTTCTATTAGAATTCATTGTAAACGAAATACTGGAAAAAGCAATCACATTGATTAGATGTCAATATGTAAAGCTCTTACCCAAGTCCTCAGTACTTAGTTGCAAAGTAATTTTACAGGAATCATCCTGCCCAGGACAGGCAATGGGTACTGTGCTCAGGACAGTCAAAACATGCTCCTTGCCATCCTCTGCAATTTCTAGTGATTCTGGTAAGAACTGGAAATAAGAAAACAACTTTAAGATAATTTTGACAGGCAAGAGTGATGACAGATTAATCAGGCAACACTGACATCTATGAAGTCTGAAGTGGTTTTAGCCAGTTATTAAGCTATTACTTGCAAAATAATAATAATCTTTATCATAATCTCCTCAATAATAATAAATTTTGCAATAGTGATATTCAACTTTATAAGGTAAAATTGCTGTTAACATACTTTAACATTTTTTGGCAATTAAGAAAATGTTTGCAGTTCCTATGTGTAATGTGTAAATTGCTTCTCATTTCCAAATCAGAAAGCCAGCTTTTATTAAGCCTGAAAATAATACTGTGGAATTTATTTAATTTTTAATATCCCTGGTTTAAAGGAGCTCCTTCTCCAGTGCAGTAGGAGAAATACCATGGCATAAAATCTGGCATAACCTCATGGTCATGGACTCCATGTTTGTAGTCTGCACCAGGTACAAAATAATTGCAAGTTTTCACCAATTCCCCTTCCCTGCTATGGCAGGAAGAAGAATTGCTTTGCAGATAAAATATTACAGGTTTGTAGACCCCTGCCCCCAGGACAGAGAGCTGGGCTTGTGCCTTTTCTGTCTGCCCATTGTCCTGGGAAAAGAGCAGAAACAGCACTCAGGGCCAGTCAGAAATGGGAATTTCCACTCCCTGAAAAATTCTGACATTTAAAAAAATTCCTCAGAAACTGTTCTTCAGATACCACACAGAATGGGCTGCCAGATGTTTGAAACCCCTTTGATGGAGGCATGACACTCGGGTACTCAGAAGATCCCAAAATCTCCTGGGCTGCCAGGCTGCCAGCCTAATCCTTGAGTGGGATTGGACCTGGTCCTTGCACTCAGTGTGAATTTATCTTCAGCAACTTCTGTTTCGTAATGCCTGACCGTAACAAGACGATGGATAAAAATTCACATTTTGTCTTCACTTTGTTCTGGTTTAGTTACAACAGCACTGTGCATCCTTTGTTTGTAGGTTTGTAGGTTTGTAGGTTTGTAGGGTGTCTTCCCATCCCACAAAACGCCCAGAGCTGTTCAGGGCACATTTACGCACACGTAGCTTTGCCCACATGCTTTGTGGCACATCAGTGTCCACACCTGCACACGGTGCCAGTGGTGCTTCAGGGTGTTTTAAAGACAAACTGAAAGCCATTTTCTCACAGTGAACAGAACTGCTTGCGATCATCAGGATTTATGTTTCTTCATCATGATTTTCAAATATTCCCTAGTCAGTGACTCAGGGCCACGGGCGTTACCTTAATCCCAGCATAGAAACTTTTGCTGTCCTCAGGCAGTGACTGCTGCTCAGGAGAGCCCCTCCTAAAAGCTGTGACAGTGCAAAAGACCTGTAATAAATAAATAAACAGCACATGCTATAGCATTTCTTGAATGACAGTTGTATAATTATGCATCTTCCTGTTGATCAGAGTTTTCAATCTTTCATTCTAGTGCTGAAATATGTTTTGGGGATTTAGGCTTTGAGAATATTTATATGTAAATTTTGAGATTTGGAAGAATTTTTGATGCATTTAATAAGCAAAGAAGTATGGCTTTTGTCTCAACAATTAATAACACTTTATCCTTATGATGTCTTTTCTTCTTCTTACAATGTGTTTTTCTTCCTTCTTTAAACACCCTGGTTTGTGATTTTGACTCATTTTACCAAGGAAAAACTACATTGTTCATAGATGTCACTGTCAGAATTCAGACATTTGCTCTTGGGATCCCAGATTCCAGTCTGTCCACTGGATCAAGCATCTTCCCTCTGTACCACGTTTGTAAGCATTTTATTTTAAAATTTAAATTTGATTTGACAGTCATCCAGTCTCAGAAACTGTGTCAGCAATAAGAGAAGCTTCTTTTTTTCCTTATGGTTTTATAAGAGATGATGCAGATATGCCTACAGGGTTTATATTGTATTAAAAAAAAAAGAAAATTCACCCAAATAAAAAACTCCTCCAAACACAATGTACCAGGACACTTGTGTTGTATTCCTAGCACAGCCACACAACTTTTATCTCTGCTGAGCCTGCACACCATCTGCCAACTTAATGTTTCATTGGTTTCAGAAAAACCAAATTGCAAAAATCATTTCTAGGATCATAAGATTAAAATACAGAAATTTTCCTTAAAGCAAATGACAATGGACTCTGAAGCTGTAGTTCTGAATATTTTTTTAAGTCTTCTTGGAAATGAAGTAACAGATTGTGACATATTAAATCAAATTCCAGATACTCAGATGACATATTTATAGCTGCTGCCTTTTTTAAGCCTCAAGTAACCCACAAGGGAGAACTGGACCAATCCAATTTATTTTGCATTATAACAAATGCCTTTGGATGGATTTTCCAGCATCACTCACTGGCCATGCTGGTGCTTGTAGCTCTCACCTGCTGGCTCAGGCACGACCCTCATGACCGCTACCTGCAAAGCAGGTTCTACACCAGGATATTTCCAGATGTGCTCATGAGCTGCAGAACAGCCTGCAATATTTATTTTAGCACCCTAAAAGTCCCTCCTCATTACCATCAAGTCGTGAGTTTCTTCCAAACTGAAGAATCCTCTTTCCTACCTCATTTGTGCCCAGTGGAAATTCCCCACCAGCAATACGGGGTCGTTTGTAGGGCTGTGGGGAAAAACAAGTGTTTTCTGTGCTCTTCAAGTGGATTATTTCCAGTTCAGCTCAGTCCCAGGCTTATGTGCCTTTTGGGATGGTTTTACCTTCACATTTTTTCTCACTCTCTTGCAGACAGCTCCAGACAGTTTGGCCCAGTGAAAATGGTGTCATTTGTTACATTAACAAGATGGAAGCCTTGAGGTCATACTGGGTGTACTGGGGGAAAAACCAGACAGATCTCACCTCACAGAGACACTTTACAGTTAAAATTCCTTAGATATTTCATAGTTATCCAGCTTGCCTCTGAAGGGGAGCAAGTTGTTTCTCCTCAAGGTAATAAGCCCCTGTTATCATTAGATATTTATTATCTCCAATCCTTCCCTAAAGGCTCGTGTTCAGCTTACAGACTTTTCAAAACAGTGCTGCTGCTGGGAAGGCAGAGAGTGAGTGTTGATCATGCTTCTGCAGCTTCTCCTGCTGCTGCCACAGGGAGAGACTGCAAAACCAGGATCTGGCAAGGTGGTGGCAACAGAGAAAGGGTTCAGATAATGCATATTCCCCCTACCAAAAACAAACAGCACTGACCCCCTTGCAGAGCTCATTGAGCAGATCACATGCTCCCGCATTGCAGATGATGTATTTGCTCTCACTGGGCTGTTTGCACTTTTGGCTTCAGTGCTTTTAACCAAAAATATTCACACTGAGATTCCCTCCGAGCCCAGCAGGAGCAGTGTTTGTGCCAGGGAGGGAGCTGCAGCTGCCAGGGATGGGCACAGGGATGCCCAGCACTGACAGAGGATGGCCTGGTGATCTTCCCCAAAGTGATATTCTGGCAGATACCAGAACCCAGCCTCGTCGTTTTCCTCTCATATCTATTTTAGAGGTATACTTTATAGATAAAGCACCAAACACTCAAATAAAAAATTACTCCCTAATGATACACAGAGATATCTGTGGACTATCAGTCCATCCCAGCTCAATCTTCAGTGCTTTTGGAGGTCAGCACAAACTTTAAAAATTCAAAATGTATGGACAGCCATCACAATTTACATTTTATTTCTGTCTTTTGTATAATTCCCACTCTTGTTGGGTGCACACCTCACAATCAGCAGATATGTTCATCAGATACTGAGCTACAGGTTGACAGTTTGTCACATAATTATGATAGTCATCCCAAGGAAGAGGGTTTTTTTTGCCTTCAGCTAAATACTAACTCTTTTTTCTGCACTTCAGTAATCAACTTTTTCTTTCTCTTTTTCTCTTCCCCCCCTACACCCATCTCAGGATGCAGCCTTTTTAAAGCAAAGAGATAAAAGCACCACTGACAGCAGTATGCTGATGGCCGTGACAAGTTAGGAAGTATTTTTCCGCAGACTCATTGGATCTGTTAAAAAAAAGTCAAATTCTATTTTTTCATTGTCTCTTTTAAAGGGACAGGTGCCCTTGGACAGGATGACTGGATTGCTTCTTAACATGGGATGCTTTCTTTTCCCTGTGCGCTGGCAAAACATCCCATAGGGCAGAAAAATTTCTTCTAGGCACAAAATTCTTATCAGAAAAGGCTCTTTTAGATAAGAAGTGTCTCCTTTCCTGTGTGTTGGAGCAGATTCCCCCCTTCCATGGACTCAAACAGAGTTGTACCCATTTTGACATGAACCCCGAGAGCAGTTTCTTTACCTAAAAGCAGAAGTCAGTCATTAATTTGGTGAGAATCAGTTAGTTCTGTGAAACAATTTAGGAGAATATTCTAATCCTAGGACCTGTCACCATCCCCAGAAAATTTCTCTGCAATAACTTGCAAATTAAAATGTGGGTATTTCCCCCTATAGCTTTCAGAATTCAGGTTTCCTCCAAATCAGTTGTTTCTCCTCGTTTTGATGACAATAATGTCTTCAATTTCACCTTTCCCCTTAACCAGTTCTGAATGTGGTGTGGGTAGTCCAGGCTGGGGCAAGGATGGGGGCGTTTGCCAGCAGATCCAGCTTTGCCCTGGCTCCTCTCCATCAGCCTCTCCCCCTGTGCTCATGCAGGGGTTCAGTTAACAAAGGCAGCTGTGGGGAGCTCCCTTGTCCCCATAAGGAGCCCTTTAGGGTCCCCTGCTGCTGGCCATTCCCTCAGCAGGGCAGTCTGGGGGTGCATGCTACCCCTGGGGTTGGATCCAGCCTCCTGTGGGTGTATCACCCATGGCAGAGCAGGCTGGGGCTGCAGGGCTCAGAGTGACACTCCTGGATTGGAGGTGGAGGCTGGGCAGGGAACCACCAGGCCAGGTGAAAGGTGTGTCCTGATGGCTGTGGGGCACTGCAGCTGCCATTGCCTTCTCCATTAAACACTAATGGGCTGGGGTTAGAAACCCTGCCGGGAGCTGGGAGGGCGTGTGGGAGGGAGCCGTGGTTTACAGCCTTGATGAAAAGAGCAAAGGATGAGCAGAACTGAGGGATGACATTTCTGGGGAAGCAGGAAGAAAAGAAAAATAGTTCTCATTAGCTTGAGAAAATGATCTGGCTGTAGGTATTTGCAGAAAGGGGTAGGAACAAAGTCTCTGGGAAGGCTTTCCAGAAGGGTTAGCAGGAAGGGGAAAGTAGGGAGAGTCTGTCTTTGATTTAATTAATGAACTAGACCTTGCAGCTTTAGAACACAAATCACTCCCTGTGAGGGGCTGTTGGCTGTGGAAAGGAGGGAGCAGGTGCAGCTGTGTGACCTGGCACTGTGGGTAGCCCAGCTCTGCTCACCTTCTGCTGGCTGTACAGGAGGAAGGCAGCTCTTCCCAGGAGTCAAATGGCCAGGCAGTGTGGGGAAGCTGACTCTGGGTCATTATTCTGCTAAGGAAGGAAATTTTCCCAGGGTAATAGGAAGGTGTTTTATCATCTGCAGAGTTTTGCTCATCATCTCTCTGACCCTTTCTGCTTTAAAATCTCTGTTCAAGTTCACCTAGAGTTCTGTTTCTGCGGGTATGCTTCTCATTTTCTACCTGAAGGTTGAGGAAGAAATTGTAAACTCAGCTGAGACCTACAAACAGGCAGGTCTTCCTATTCCTGTTGTTGATTTTGACAAATCCAGTGGCTGGGAGTGGATTAGTTCTTAAGATGGGGAAATGCCACTTTGTCTCTTTGGAGTTCAGATTCTGGTGCAGACCTCTGAACTGGGCAGTGGCAGAGTCTGAGTCAGTGAGAGCTGAGCCAAGGGCTTGAAGTGACCCCAAAGGGGAGATGCTGATAGCCAGTGCTGACTGGGGGTCTGTAGGATGAAACCTTACTATTTCTGGGAGAGGAGACGGGGCAAGCCCTCAAGATGGCCTTCTAAGTGCTTGAGTATTTCTATAGGTACAGACTTAATATGATTTAACATTTATGAGCCCATATGCCCAGGATTTTCTGTCTAACTGCAATAAATGCAGTGAATCCATCATCTGGAATGAGCTGCTTCTCTCCCCTGGGCTGAGCTGGGGTATCTCTTAGAAGTGCTGGCAATAAGACAAAAATCCTATTTTCCTTGAGAGATGAAGTGTAAGTGCTCTGCAAGACCTGGCTTTCTTCAGCACCAAGAACAACAGGACTGTAAGATCTCTTGCTTCATCACTGGAGGTGTTTAAGGCCAGCTGGGATGGGATTTGGAGCAACCTGGCCTAGCAGAAAGTGTCCCTGCCCTTGGAGGGGGGTTGGAACTGGGTGATCTTTGGGCTTTCTTCCAATCCAAACCACTCTATGAAATTTCACGCTTTTTCCCTTGTGAGAGAAAAAATAGTTATTTTATATATTGAGGCAATAATTTGCTGTCTTTTTGGCTGGGGCATAACCTCCTTCTGTTGGAGAGTGCCATGAAAAGCAGCCACAGAGCTGCTTCTATCACAGAGCTCAGAAAGGCTGGTTTTGCTTAAACATTCTTGTTTTACAAGGAGCACCATGGTTTATGTAGGGTGACAATTGCTCCTCGCTGTGTGAACTTTTGGATTGCTGTGCTGAGCAAAATCTGCACAGTTTTCTTCTAAACACCTTTCTTTCTTAGCATAACTCATTACTCACAGTGTGCTGCTATAATTTATAGATGGCTGTGCCTCGAGGAATGAAATGACCTCTGTCACTATCACATAAATAAGGCTTAGGAATGCCAGGATTTTCATATCAGATGGAGTAGGCTTCTTTCAGAGCTTATAGAGAAATAGTGGCATGTTATAGATTTATTTAAGACTGCAATAGTTTCATGAACATTATGCTGCCAGCATTACTGTCTGAAATAACAAAATTGGAACCCAAAGATGGGGGGAAGAAAGGACACATGATGGCTATTAAAAAATAACTGGCTGTTTAGTCAATACAAGTTCAGGAACGTTGGCTGGTAAATCTCAACTCTTCTCCAAGGTTTGACTGCGTATTAAAATATATCAATAGCTATTCCATTATGTGACTGACCTATTACCTGGAGATGTTTTTACAAAGAACAGCATTGACATCAACCACCCAAAAAGTGATGTAAAAAAAAATCATCTTGCTTGGCTGTGTTTTTTTTTTTTTTGTCAAGAAAGGAACAGAGAAGATGCTGATTTCAGGCCATGAATGTGTGGAACCAAATGCAGGTTACTGTGCAAGTAGAGATTATGAGTTAAAAAGGTTCAAAAAAGGCAAGTAGTTTTCCAAATGGTTCAAATTTTCTGTCCTGGGGGACAAATTCTGCCTTGAATGCCCCTTGTGCACCCTGACAGCACCTTGGGGATGCTGCTACTGGGCTCTGCATGGAGAAGAGGAAAAGTACTGGAAAGTGGTCCTGATTTATTGTCTTCCCTCTCATATCAGTGTGAACCTGGCCTCCCTTCAGTGGTGCCTGAGAGAATATTCTTCCCTCTGCATCTTTCTTGGGCAGGTGAGAGTTACCCATTGCCTCTGTGTGGTGGAGTTTGGTGCCAGGGTTTGAGTCCCCTTTTAGTGGCATCCCCTTTCCTCTAGGGTAGCCCTATAAATGCTAGATTTCTTCAGATTTACAGCACTGGAGGTGAGAGTCTTCTCCCTTTTGACTCCTGTTAGACACCCAGACTGGGATGGCAAACAGTGAAATGCTTTTTTAAAATCTTTATTTTGTAAAACTGAATTCTCAGCTGCAGCTTCATCGCTTGGTTTTCACCTCTGATGATTTATGGATAATTACAATTAGTCTAATAGGCCGTGAAGACCTTTAAAGAAGCCTAACAAGGAAGAGAATGCTTTAGTCTCACTAAACCCACTAAATTAAACACGTAGTTTCAGCAGAGGACAAAGAAGGGCTTACTGGAAACTTAATACAATAAAAATAAGTCTTATAAAGATTTGGAAATGCTACTTGTTAACAGAACCATATTTCCTCTGAATCCCTCAGGATTGTTAAAACAAGATTTGAAATGATTGCAAGTGAAATAATTTTGATGAGAATATCTCTTCATAGCACAAACTTGTCTTAAACTGGCAGAATTATTTGCCTCATTTTATAACATGTGAGGGCATCATCAGTCAGATTCTGAACTGGGCTAAAGAAATCATTATCTCAGTATTTCTCAGGCCACATCTGGAATATTGTGTTCATTTTGGGTCACCACTACACAAAAACATGTGGGCAGCCTGGAGAGGGTTTAGAGAAGGGCCACAAAGATGAGCCAGTGTCTGGGGAGCTGCCATGTGATGAAAGGTTGAGAGAAGTGGGTTCATTCAGCCTTGATAAAAGGAGGCTTAGGGGAAACCTCATCACCACGTTCCAGCTTTTAGAGTGGATTCAAAGAAGATGGAGGGTCCCTTTTTACAAGTAGTAACATGGACAAGATGAAGCAAAATTCTGATTCAACACAAAAATATTTTTTTTCACAATGAGAAGTTATCCATTGGAATAATCTCAGCAGTGGTGGATTTCCCTACACTGGGCACTTCAGGTTCAGCAGGAAAGGCTGCTGGGCTGTCTTGTCTAGACTATGCTTTTGCCAAGAAAATTTAGAACAGATGAACCTTGAACCCTCTGTTTGGGCTGGCATTCCATGATTCCATGATCTCAAAGAGCTGCAAAATACCAAGACTATTTCCAACCTACTTTTAACACCAGGACATTATCCCTATTTATTCTGTTTGCTGTAGCATCACTAATGTCCCTCTGCCTGTAAAAGTTATGAACCTAATTTAAATTTAAAAGTCTTGTTTCTGTACCATAAAAGGCCATGAATTCATACACAAGTCAATTTTTTTTCCCACATCTGTATTGGTTTCTGTTTTGTTGTTGTTGTTGAGAGCAGATCATTGTTGCTGTGTAAGCCATCAAATATACTTCTTAAAGATTGTTTTGTAATGAACTCTATCTTTCAGTATGCTATTGAACCAGGAATTTGGAATCAGAGAAGCAGAACAATGTGAAAAAAAAACCCATAAAATGAATCTCCCTCTCTTTTAAAATGTATAATTTTTTTTTTCCTGTGAAAAGATGTTATTGTGTCTCTGGTCCATGGATATAAAAATTACTGAGTGCCTGCAGCTGAGCCTGCCTCTGCTGCAAAATCTCACTGCCTCAAGATACAAAAAGTTCTAAGCAAAAATTGGCTCAGGCACATGTACCCACCACTTATACAAACCTCACAGCATTCAAGGTGTACTGTAACTGCAAATATTCAATTTGCCTTTCGAATGTGGTAAAATACCTTCCAAGAACCCACTGCAATTCATAGAAATTTTACAGGTCCTGAACCCGGTTAATGTTATTAAATAATCTTGCCATGAAACAGTCTCAGATCTTTTTTGGGCAGTAGCTCTAAGCCGAGGGAGCGAGGAGCAGCACTAATGGAAGCACAACAGAGGTTTAGGAAGGAGGTTTGGGTGTGTGACCTGTGCCGCTGAAGGCGGGTGGTGTTACCGTGTCTCCCAGGCGGAGATTCGCGCCGTCCATCTCCACGTAGGAAAACGGCTGCGGGGTTGTCTCCTGGTGGATCTGCTCCCTCTTCCCAGGGCTGGAGAGGCGAGACCAGAGCACCCTGAACTGCACTGGGGGCTCAGGGGCAGGGGGGCTGTAGCTGCACTTCAGGTGGACTCGGCCTTGCACGAGCTCGGGAGTGATGGCCGGACGCAAAGCCAGGCTTGTGGGCTTGTCTGGAAAAGGGAAACAAAAGAGGGATGTGGCACAAAATGTTATTTTGATGTTACAGTTGTTCACCTAACAAGATGTCAATGCAATTAAACATGGGAGAAGCACTACATTTTATCTTCCTGTGGCTTAATTAGTAACCATGCAAGCAAGAAGGTGTGTTTCATACCAAATGCAAAAATTGCTAATTGTGTCCTGACTACCTATTGCTGTTATACCATCTGACCTGCTGGTTTTCAATGTGTTTTTTTTGTTGTTTTTTTTTAATTTTGTAGTGAGAAAAACATTATTGAAATGAAGCACTCAGATTAATACAAATTAATTACTCTGGCAAAGGTCCTCAGCTTTGCATTTCCCTGGAGCACAGCCTTTTGATCCAAGTTTTGCAATAAGCACAGGAGAGATATGAGAAATCACTATTTTGCAGAGGTAAATTGACTCCCAGAAAGCAGCCAGCCTCTATTGCCTTGCTGTGAACATCCTTTCCAGGCTGTTTTAGGATGTATCTAGGCTAGGTCTGCTCAATATAGTCTCCCTCTGCCCAGAATAATGCTATTGCTCTAAAAATACAGCTTGCTTTCTGTAGGCATCAACAAGTAATGAAGTCTGAAACATTTGTTCCTGTTAAACTCCCCTAGAAAGTAGAAACAAAGAGAGGTATAATAGTGTAAGGGGATGTTTTTCATCTCTAGAGACCCAGACTCAAACAAAACATGAAGCTGGTTCAGATGCTTCGAAAGGATAAATTAAGTAACTTTTTTGGACAAGTGTAGAAAATATAATATGTGAGAACCCAAGAGAATAAAATATGAAGCTGTTTCAGCAGAACAGAGAACCAGTGTGTTAACATCTGTCCAGGGCAAACAGCAAGAGGTGAGAAACAAGTTACTTAAAAGATGAATAAGGACCAGTTGTTTATACCCTTTTGTATTTCATTTCTTAGAGAAGCTGCCTCAAACCGTGGCTCACATCATGACTGTGTGTAGGAAATTATCCCAGAAGGACAGAGTTAGGTGATCAGCTCGGGGGAGGATGTGAGTGGAATTGCAAGCATGAACTCTGCTTTTCCCAAATGTGTCTTTTCTGCCAAGTTCTGGAGTTTTAAATTCAGTTTGTTTTGCAGCTCAGAAGTGCTGATTGCTGTCCTGCTCCTGAACCCCCAGCAGAAGGGGCTGGGGAATTGACCCCGACACAAAGCCATGGCAGCTGGACCCAGCTGAACCTCTAGTGGTGCAATATTTACAGCTGAATTTAAGCCATGAGGTAAAAAAACTGAGTAAAAAAACCTCCAGATTTGTGGTTTTTTCCATCCAATGCATGAGACTGCAAAAACATCCTATAGGAATGAAAGACTCTGCAAGACTGGACCTCACTGAAAATGAGATTGGGATAGATGGGAAGGGATAAGCTTTCTTACCTTAGAAATGCAGGTGGCTTTACATCACTGAACAGGTATAAGTCATCAAATAGGACAAAGTTATTCACCCAAAATGTATTGGCAAAAAAATTCTTTGAACAAGAGTAGTGGAAATCTTATAGTTTATAAAAAAACCAAGCTTAAACTGAAAAAATGACTATTCAGTTAAAAAGTAATTTCTGAGTAAGAATTGGTTTCATTTATTTTAATGGATTTTTTTTTTATTTCAAATACTGAATTAATCTCATGTCCTTTGAGCCTTTCTTCCTTCCTCTTCTTCAAGTAGGAATGTTAAAATATTGATAAAGATAAGAAAATAGTTATCTTTCTCTTTAAAATTTATTTAAGCTTGGATTTTGCCCAATTGAAAAGCTGATAACCCTAGTTTCTCAGTGTCATGTTTCTGTCCAAAAACACTAAAAGGAAAGTATAAAGGTAATTTTTTCATTTTGAGAAAGGAGCATGTTTTCTGATGAAATCTATATGCACCTGGCTGTGTTCCAAAGTTCAGGAGGTTTAACTGAATGAGCAATTGCTTTCTGCTTTCCCTTTGTTTCCTAGCTACCGAACAGGGGTTACATCTCTCGTAGTAGGCTGAAAATTATTTCTGATGAGAACAATTATATAAATGTCATGAAAAAGATGTTATCAGTTTGGTTCGGGGTTTTGTTTTTTTTTTTTTTTCTCCTTGCAGAGTTTCAGAATTACCTTTTTTGAGGGGGGATACTGCATTGTTAAAGATAAGGAGAGGCCTTAGAGACAGTCTCCTGGATACGGTGCTGGGTGCAGCTGAGATGCCTCTGCTCGCTCGCTTTGCCACTCCAAGCCAAAGTGGAGCCAAAGACAGTGGGAAAGGTTACACGTGAGCTGTAACCAAGCACAGAACGCTTCAGCAATACACATCAGATTACATTTTGCACTGGTAATAGGAGCTATTCTTCAGGAACACCTTGGAGTGCCACTGATTTATTTCCTACACACTCCGCGCCTTAGCGGGAGTGACGCTTGACTCGCAAGGTCACCGCGACGCACACTGCAGCACCGGGGCCTCTGAACACCCAGCCTGAGAGGCACAAGCAATCTTGTTGATAAATACTTTGCTGGTCCTCACCTTCTGCACAGTAGCCCATGCATCCTGGCGTGGGCTGCAGGAGATACACAAAGAAAGCGCCGCAGTTCCTGACGGCCACGGGGATCCGGAACAGGCAGCAGTCCCTGGTGCCCCCAAAACCCTGCCAGGTGGCACAGCCCGTCAGCCTCTTGCTCTCCCCAGGAGCTGGCAGGGATTCAGACTTCAGCGACAGCCACACCGGAGCTTGTGTCCCACACTTGTTCATCTGAGGGCGCACACAAAAGGAGACGTTTACGGCAAGTGTGGTAAGATTCCTTTCAGGAAAAGGAATGGAATTGTGGAATCAGAGAACAAAGTCTAACAAACACTCTGTAAAGAAGCGTTTGATATGATCAAATTGATATCTTTTGATATGATCAAATAAAATGCAATTGAAAAAGCCCCAGAAAATTTGGAATGGAGTGACTACAACCAAACGGACTGAGATGAAATGAGGGGCAGTGCAAACGACCAAAGCTTGCCAAAAATGACTCCAATTAAAATCCTCAAATCAGGGAAGAAAATTTAAAAAAAAGACAGGAGAAGAATTTGAAGAAATGAAACATTTAAAAAAAAAGAAAAAGGAAAAATTCCAGTAACAAGGGAAAACAATAAAAGTGAATGGGATGACAAGAAGTGCAGGGAAATTGACTGAAGCTTGCCCAAATAATCCTCATTCAAATCTTGAAATCAGAGATCAAAGGTCAACGAATGCTCTGGAAAGGAGATACGATCAAAAACAATGCAATTTAAAAAACCCAGAAAATTTGGAAATTGAGTGACTACAACCAAATGGACTGAGATGAAATGAGGGGCAGTGAAAAGGACTAAAACTTGCCAAAATTACTCCAATTAAAATCCTGAAATCAAAGAAGAAAGGTAAACAAAGAGAGAGAAGAAGAAGCTAAAGAAACGAAATGTTAAATTAGAAAGGAAAAATTCTGAAACCAGGTGAAAACAATAAAAGTGAAAGGGACGACAAGAAGTGCAGGGAAATGGACCAAAGCTTGCCCAAATAATCCTCATTGAAATCACAAGATTTCATTCCCTTTCCTGAACGTGGAGACCACTAAAACCCAAGAGCCTGCGTGAACCTGGAGGGTCAGTGAAAAAGCTGTGTAGGTGGGGATGTCTTGCTCGGTTTTGAGAGGTGGCTCTACACAGATAAAACGCTTAAAGGACACAATAACAGGATTCCAAAGTGTTTTCCTCTGGTTTTGGTTAGCTTGTATGAAGAGGATGAAAGCATGAAAGCAGGCTAGATCACCTGCCCCAGACCAGCTCACTGCTCCAGACAGCTCCCGCCCTTCCAGCACACGCTGGGCACGTCTGTGGGACCTGTACCTCTCCCTCATTCTTGAAGAGAGACACACATGAAGGATGGACAAAACATATGTGCAGGATATGCCTGACTTAACTTTCTAATTTGTTTTTTTATTTTATTTTTGCTTTCGGGCTTTTATCTATTAACAAATTCCCTGAATACAGAAAATCCCAAAGCAGAAGGCGTTGCTCTTAAATGTTTTAAATTACAGCATGTTGAGTCATGGCCAGGAGAGACTGATTTCCATTTCCCAACTTAGGGATGTGTGTTCAGGAATCTCAGATCTGAGCTGCCCTCTGTACCTGTCAGGCTCTCTCCCCAGACTAAAGGAACATGGTTCTCTAAAGCTGCCTTTAATTTAAGCACCTCAGTGAGGAGATTAGGTGTAATCAGGGCCTTATTAAATATACAAAGCCAATTACAATGGTGACTCATTTTTCTGCACCATTACCTAGCATTTGCCAATATGCAAAGCAGAGAGGTATTTGAGCTAAAGTTTGGAAATTATTACCAAATACTGACAATAATTTGCTCTCAGATATCAGTCATATTCAGCAGAGCGTGACTGCTGCTGTCACTTTGCATTTCTGCAGCCAGTGACAGTGAACCATCTCTACTAGACCAGCTTGGGGAACGTGATTCCTCCCAGTGTGAGTGTTTGGCTATAAATCACATTGGGGAAAAAAAAAAAAAAAAACAAATCAAAAAAACACCCCAAAAGCAAGACCCACCATTTCTTTTTTCCATTGGCCCAGGTTTGCTGCTTCACTTTCAAGATCGAAAGTTATTTGTGACAGCAGGGGAAGCAGTGAAAGTCAAAGGATAAATTTATTAAGTCATGCACCAGTTCCCTCCTGCAGTTTGAGTTGTACCTGGGAGCTATTCAAGCCAGGAAGCAGGGGCAGGGGGGAAGGGGTGCACACCCAGGAAAGCAAGGGTAGTTGAAAAACAATCAGCACTGTGACATGGCATGACACAGTCTGATTTCCATTTGTAGCTGGTTATTGCCAGCCTTCTGAAAACAAGGATTCCAGAGAGACACCACTGCAATTGTCCAAGGCTGTTGGGGTTTTTTTCCTCCTGAAAAGTGGCAGCAGCTGAGCACAGAGGCTGACCCTGCCTTCCCTGTTTGGTGTCCTGGTGGTCTTGCAGGTGGCACTGGAGCTCACACAGTGCAGCAGCTCCCTGGGGAGGAGCAGCCTTCCAGCACTGTGCAAGCAAAGGAGAAAAAGGGTCAAAATAAAAATTCTTCTAGGTGGAATTTTAGACCAATTCCTTTCCTTGCTTTCTTTAAAAGCCACGTTGTGTGTAAGTTTAAAGAGGTTCTTTCTGTTTGTTTATTTACAACTTGAAGGGGCTCAAGTGTTTTCTGTGCTGGTAAAAAATACAGATGATGGGAATTTATTGCATCCTGGTCAACTTCTGACCTAGAGTGCAAGATGTGGTGTGGAGAAGCATGTTTCCAGAATGTGCTCATGAGCATACACTTGTAATGACCTGGGAGAGTGGAAAAAACATCCAGGGAAGCAGCATGGGAGAAGAGAGAGGGATGGAAACTGAAGCTCTGTGGTCTCTGCTTCATCCTCATCTGGGTGTGATACCTGCAGCCTGAATTTCCTCTTACAAAATGAAACCACAAACTTCAGTGCCTCTGCTTGTGTAAGTAAAGATTGCTGGACTGGAACATTCTTTTTGAAATTCCACTAAAATGCAGGCATTAGTGAGTTCACCTTGGAGGTGTTTGGAGCCACACAAGCTGGAAGAATAAGTTATGGGGAGCAGAGCAGCAGGGATGAGCGAGCACTGGATTTCAATGGATGTGTGCAAACTCAGAGAGTCTTGGAGGAAAGGGTTTGGTGAGGAGACAGCACAAACTACTCATCCCAACTGGAAAAAAAAATACTCTTATAATTCTCTATAAAGGAACTTTTGTTGCTTAAAATGAGCTACAGCATCCATCTCATGCTGCTTTTGCCAATGTAACTGGTACCAACACGTCAGTGCTGCTCTGCTGGGAGTGCAGCTGCTGGGCCAGGCACACACAGTGCCTCAGTTTCTCTGGCTGCTTGACCTTGGGCAAATAACAAATCACTGACTCTCTGTGTACCTCACTTTCTTATCTCTCAACCAGAGGTGGAGGTGGCTGAGATGGTAGTAGCCTTCGGTGCCTTGCAGCAGTGCTGGGAAGATAATTCATTAATGAGACACCCACCTCTCTGCTGTGCTGGGGGCCATGCAGATAAATAGATGTGAATGCATTCTGGCTGTGAAAAAAGACAGAAAGTGATCCGTACATAAAAGTGGGCCTGGATCTCTTGTTAACACACAGAAGAAAAACTGAAATGCTGGAAGAGGAGGATGGTGATTTTCCCCCTCTGTTTTTATCCTCACCAGAAGTCTGTGAGCCATTTCAGTGCTGGAGAAAATGTGGATTGGCATCACTGATGTCAGAATGCAGCTTTCTGATAAACCCCCACGGGGATCTCCTGCATTTGCCCTGGCCAATCTTGCACTGACACCACTTGAGAGACAGTTTGTTATGTAACATGCACAAATTACAAGCAATGACCAACCCTTACGAGGGTAAAAAAATCAGACTGTGAGACAGCAAGTCATTGCAACTAACTGTGACACAGGATAACAGGCTGGCCAAGGAAGCATTTTGGTATAAATCAAGTGTTTCTGTTTTCCTGGCAGCTCTATGACACACATGAATTTATTTTCTCTTATGAGCTGCATGTGGTCCTTCTGAGTCAGGCAAGTTGCCACATACTAGCCAAAAGGATTTGCTGCATGAGGCCTCTGTGAATTAGAAGACAGACCTGGGAAGGCAAGGGCAAATGTATATTCATGTGTTCAAGCAGCAGTAGAGATAAGAACAGAAAAAAAAAAAAACAAAACAAAAAAACAACAAAAAAACCCAAAGAAACTTAGAAGAACAATCCAGGAGAAGAGGCTTCAAAGAGCCAAAATTTTCAAGTCCCCACTGTGGCATGATTTGCATTGAATTTAGTAGCTGTCATTTGGGAGAGTAACCAGAAAATTGAATACAGAGGTAGCAAATGATTGGCATTTAAAACAGAGCATTTACCTGCAATGCCTGCAGTCACTGCTGCTCTAAGGATGCTGGAGAGATGTGGGAGTCTCACAGCCCCACTCAGCAGCATTTCCAAAAGGAGGGAGGAATTACACAGCTGCCTCTACAGGACAGCAAACTCCACAGGTTCAGGTGTCCAGTGACACAGCTTGCACAAAGGAGAACTTCTCCAGCACAGAAGGGACACGTCAGGCTGTTGGCAACCTTCTTTAGTATCTTTCCATACTTTATCCAATCGTAATTAAGGGGTGTTTTTAATCTTCAAAGCATTTTATAAACCTTACCCAACTAATCTTTGCAACACCTCTGTGTGGCAGGTAAGCATTCATTAAGTATTTTTGATTCATAATTAGGCACCAGCTAATAATTTAAATAATCCAATTTAAAAAACCTAAACAATAAAAAACCCATTTTCTCCCTTTGCCAGAACAAGGGAACGAGCCATTATTGTTTAATCCAATGATGTCTCCTTCCATTTGCTTGGGGTTTGGAGTATCAACCAGTTTGATTGATTGGACACCGTGGTTCTTCATAATTGCACAAAGAAATCAAGCTCGATTGTTCTTGTCACTTGGGTACTGCTGAAATTATGCTGTTAAAAATAAGTAGCACCATATGTGAGAAATGCATTGTTTTAGTTGGATGGAGATGGAAGGCTTTTTGGTGTGCTGCTGGTTGGCAGTTAAAGCATTATGATTTTGCATCTGCTATCCACTCAAAACTTTACTTTAGCTTTTATATATATATATATATTTCTTTGTAGTTAGTTAAAGTAAATAAGTTTGTTTTTTTAATTTTTATTTCA